ATGCATAACTCAAGGTTAGTGAGTTTTGATGCAAAACAACGCGACGGATTGGCGATACGGAATGTGTTCGAATACCATTTTTTCATTTTTCATGGCTAATATATGTGTAATTTTCAATAATATGTGGAGTTTCTGTTCATGCTTATTTTTGATGACGTTTGATCACTATGGAAGGCTGAATGAGAGTTAGTTTCTGAAGAGACCTCTTACTTTCACAATGCTGACTGAAAAGTCTCTATAAAGTCTCTCACACTTCTGAAATTCAGTCAAAAATGTCGTTCTTTGAGAAATAGTTCTTACATACTGCATGGAATTAAAATGCATTCTAATAAATACCTTAGTTACTCAGAGTCGGCGTCAGTTCACAACGTTGAGCGTTTATTCAAGAAGCGATCTGCAAATGATTTCGATTTTTTTTTAAATCAACAGTCGATAAATGAAGAAAAAATCACTATAATAAGTACGATATACTCAACTCACAATGACATGCTGATATGAGGTGAGTATTTACATAATATTGTGTATATTGAAATTGTATGAAAAGAAGATTATATTTAAATAACTGTTTCTTCAAAAGCTTTACAAGGATCAATGAATTTTCTTAACATGAATCTTAGCTTCTGTGATACACAAAGAGAGAAAATATTCAAAGATATCTTATAGTCTCTACTTGAGCATATCTTGAAACTCAAATCTGTGTAAATACATCTGAAAATATCGATAAGAAAACAAAATAACATGAATTTTCCAACATCTCGTTGTCAGAAGTTACTGTTACTATCATATGACTGAACTTTAATTCTATTAGCCATATTTTGTTTTAGATGTCTGCGAATAATGTTTTATTATGGATTAGTGAACTCATGAAATAAATTACCAGGAATATATATCTGCTTATACTGTTTCCCAGAATCATTAAAAACAGATGCGATTTACAAGGTGAATGGGAGAATGCCTATATTGAGAAATGTGAATATGTGAATTTGTCCAGTTACATGAAGAAAGGTGTCTTTTAAGATGAGTGGACTAGGGTGGATTGAGCTAAATACAGCTTGTGGCTGTGACAACATAAAGTGAAATAAGACGAAGAAAAAGGGAATAACATGGAATAAAGTGAAAAAATTAGGTATTGTTTATCGCATTCTGAAATTTAGCTCATCGCAAGGCTTTAATTTATTGTATCAGACTTCTAACTGTACCAAACTGATGGAAATACGGATACGAATCATATTGTTCTGCATGGATTGTGGTTGGAGACAGTTGATGGGGGTTGTCAGTATCTCAAACAAAGTTTATAAAGTCTTTAAAATAATGATCATTACATCGTTTTAATTAACTCTGATATATGCTAAATGTGCTGATATTTTATGTGTTAGTAACCGATTTGACTTAAGCCATCACGAAGAGTGGAACTTCAAAATGTGAGATTATGCAAAAGTTAAGATGTGGCGAGATGAAGTGAATAATACAAAAACATTGTCGATTCTTGATATAATACATAGGCTCACTCCTCGATGCAAGATCACAAAACGTTTTGACTCCTAGAAACTGCGTTCCTCATTGTATGAAAATGCCTCTGGAATAAAATGTCCTGTACTTTATTCACTGTTATCCTAAAGTAGAATGTATAATCGTCTTTAATTTGTCGGGGGAAATTAAACTGGCCTTTCGAAAATGAAGAGTGTGATAAATGCGCTGATGTTTATGTACTTTAGATATTTCAGTATGTGTACTTAATATTCTCGTCTTGCATAGGGTGATAATTTTAAATATTACAAGTAGTTTTCTGTTTTCAACTGCAAATAGAACTAATTCATTATAACATATCTTTAGCTGTGTTTATTTGACTTAGCTACGTTTCGGTTAACTTTTCATTGTTTTTTCTATTAGCATACAAATGGGATTCTATTGCACTCTGATGTATCACATGTTACTGTGGCTTTCACTAATTAGTTAAACGATGTGATAAACAAAAGAGACATCCGGTTTTCGAAAATGTTATCTAGTAGTGTTATTCGAAGTGGTATTGATTGACACAAGTTTCAGAAGAACCAGTTTTTCACGATGAGCGCTCCTTCTGCGAATTAATTTGACATAAATTACACTTATTCTTTGCACTCACAACTAGTTATTGTTGAGGGTCAGTAAATTCATTCATCAAATAATCCTTTTAGAGACTTGTGCCGTATAAGTGTTTTAGTATGATGCAGTATTACCAACTGAGTGACCTTTCAAGCAGAAATTATTCCTCATAATTTTATCAATTTCAGTCAGTTTCTCTTAAATTGTCTTAATTTCGGTCTCTATGAATTCCCCTTGTTGTTTGTTGCTACTTTTCATAGCTACGGCGTAGCCAATGAGTCATTCCGATTCCACTTGTTTACTATTAAGTAGACAAACAAAGCTTCAGTAGTCAACCTCTCTCTTCATCTAACTATAATAATTTGTGATACTCTCACTTTGTCCCACACAACCTATTTTGTGATCATATGAAAGTGAATGGAGTGCGAATGCTGATCTTTTTCTATGTTATTTGAACTATCAGGGCCAACTGTACTAGGTCTTGCTAAATTTTTATGTTCCAATAACCTGGTTGACTCTCATCTACGAGTTTGAACTATGTATTAGATCACAAAGTTATTATGTAGTATTTGTAAATTAAACATCGCCTAGATTACTAGGTTATTAGAATTCTAGCCGGTCCCAAGCCCGGATAAAGAGGGAGGGTTAGGGCGTGGTGCTAGCAACTCCAACCCGAAAACTTAACTAAATTGCTACGAAAACTTCAACGCACAAATATATTTTAAATTCTAAAAATACAAACAATGACCTTATTTCTCGCTGGAATCGGGGAAGTGAAATGACGCAGGCTGGTGAAAGCCTTCGGGAAGCCAGCCAGCCGATGTGCCTTCTTTCGATGAAAGCGAAAATAAGGATGGGGACGTGGAATATTCGTACAATGTACGAAACTGGAAAGGCTGCTCAGGTAGCCGCAGAAATGAGGAGATATAAAGTAGAAGTGTTGGGAATCTGCGAGAGCAGATGGAACGGATGCGGAAGGTGCCAACTACCAACTGGGGAGACAATAATCTACTCCGGTCACCCAGAGGACGATCACGAGCACACCGAGGGAGTAGCCATCATGATGTCATCAACAGCGGCTAAAGCTCTCATGCAGTGGGAACCAATCTCCTCCAGGATAATGACAGCCAGGTTCAACTCAAAAGGAAAAAAGGTTACAATCATTCAGTGCTACGCGCCTACAAACGCCTCAGAACATGAGAAGAAGGAGGATTTCTACAGTCAACTACAAACAGTAATGGACAACGTCCCAAAGAGCGATATCAAAATCCTGATGGGCGACATGAATGCGAAACTGGGAGGAGACAATACAGGAAGAGAACTCACCATGGGTCATGAGGCCCTCGGTGAAATGAACGAAAATGGCGAACTCTTCTCAGACGTCTGCGCCTTCAATGAGTTGGTGATTGGTGGCAGTGTGTTCAAACACAGGGATATACACAAGGCAACATGGATTTCACCAGATGGACACACCAAAAACCAGATAGACTTCATTTCAATCTCAAGGAAGTGGAGACGGAGCCTACTGGACACAAGATCGAGGAGAGGAGCAGATGTGGGTTCAGACCACTATCTAGTACAAGGGACATTCAAGGTGAAGCTGAAAGCCTCGAGGATACCTGGAAATAGGCCACAGTGCAAGTTCAACCTGCAAAAACTGAAGGACACAATCACACAGGACATTTTCACTGCCATTGTCAGAGCAAAGCAGGAAACACTACGTGGAACCACTGAGGAATCATCCGTGGAAGATCATTGGAACTCTCTGAAGGTAATTTTCAACGAAACGTGTTCAACAGTTTTAGGAAGAAAGAATAAACAAGACAAGGAATGGCTCTCAACGGACATTTGGAAGCTAATAGAGGAGAGGAGAATGGTGAAAGAAAAAATGATTCAATGCAAAGAGAAAGAGACACTGAGCTCAACTTACACAGCACTGGACAAAGAAGTGAAGAAGAGTGCCAGGAAGGACAAAAGACAATTCTACGACAACCTGGCTACTGAAGCTGAGAAGGCAGCTGGCAAAAAGGACCTAAGGACACTATCAGTCCGTATCCGGGAAGAGATCAACACAAGTGAAACCTATAAAAGACAGCCAAGGGAACCCAATTACCAAAGAAGAAAGACGGATTAAACAATGGCCGGACCACTTCAAAGAACTCTTGAACAGACCACCACCTGCAACCCGTCCAGAAATACCAACAAAAGCACGTACACAACTGCAAGTTGACATCGATCCTCTAACGAAAACCGAAGTTATGAATGCAATCAAGCTTCTGAAAGCTGTAAAAGCAGCTGGACCAGATGGAATACCCTCTGAAGCACTGAAAGCGGACCCAGAGACGACAGCAGATATGCTGACTCCATTATTGCAAAAGATCTGGAAGGAGGGAATGGTGCCTACTGACTAGACGAAATGTTACCTCGTGAAACTACCAAAAAAGGGCGACCTAGGACTCTGCAAGAACTGGCGAGGAATCATGCTCCTGTCGACGCCAAGTAAAATCCTGAGTCGCATCATCCTGGAGAGAATAAAGGACGCAGTGGATAGAGAACTCCGACCAGAACTAGCTGGATTCAGGAAAGGCAAATCATGTTCTGACCAAATTGCAACTCTACTCATCATCATCGAACAAAGCATGGAATGGCAATCAAACCTCTACCTCAACTTTATAGACTTTGAGAAGGCCTTCGACAGCGTTGACCGCGAAGTAATTTGGAAACTACTCAAGTACTATGGCGTACCCCAAATATTCATCAACCTTATTCAACAGCTGTACGACAACGGCACATGCCAAGTGATCCACAACGGAAAACTCAGTGAGGCGTTTAAAGTAAACACAGGAGTCAGACAAGGGTGCTTATTATCACCAATGATATTCCTAATTGTGGTGGACTGGATTATGCGTCAGACAGTGGGAAACGAGAAGACAGGGATATCCTGGACTGACGTGAAGAACCTAGAAGACCTGGATTTCGCAGATGATTTATGTTTGATGTCACACAAAATCGAAGATTTACAAGCGAAAACCGACAAACTGGTCGAAGAAGCAGCAAAGACAGGACTCCAGGTGAACATAGACAAGACGGAAGTTATGAAAATAACCAACCAACAACAACAACAGCAGCAACATCCAGCGCCAATCACCATCAACGGGAAGGATTTGAAAGAGGTTACTTCTTTCACTTATCTAGGGAGCATTGTCTCAACCACAGGAGGAACGGACGAGGATGTCAAATCGAGAATCGGGAAGGCGAGAAACACATTCATCAACCTGAAACCAATCTGGAAATCTTCGTCACTCAGCATCAACAACAAAATACGGATTTTCAATACAAACGTCAAGTCAGTTTTGCTATACGGATCAGAAACTTGGCGGGTCACAAAGAATATTTCCAACAGCCTGTTGCAGACCTTTATCAACAACTGTCTTCGTTCTATACTGAAGATTAGATGGCCGGAAAGAATCACCAACAAGAAGCTATGGGAACAAACAAAACAGGAACCAATCGCCCAACAAATATGCAGGAGAAAGTGGAGATGGATTGGACACTCGCTGAGGAGGCCGTTGGGTGACATCGCGCGTCAGGCCCTCGAGTGGAACCCGAAAGGGAAGCGGCGAGTGGGACGTCCAAGGGTGACATGGAGGAGATCGTGTGATGAGGAGTTGAAACAGTATGGATTAACATGGATGCAAGTGAAAAGTACAGCACAAGACAGAAGCAAGTGGAGGCGTGCAGTTGAAGCCCTATGTTCCACTAGGAACCCAAGGGAACAATAATAATAATATTAGTAAATTATATTGTTTTTCTTGATTGGATCTATTGGGTCCTAAAGTTGACTAAGTTTATTTCTGAGAAAGGTGGTTGTTTTAAATGCCACTCTCTTCTTAGACTCATTAAGAATTCCACGTAAGGCCTCTGACGTCCCTCTTTTCATACGGCAGTGCTACAGAGACTTTGAATTTTTTATTCTTTTCCTTATTTTAGTCACGTTAGTTCTTAAGGGCTCTTCATAAATTTGTTGAATTTGTATTTGTGTCTCATCATGAGAAGTAGCTGGAAATATCACGGCTATCAGAAACTATGGTGGTACCAATAAAAAACCATAAACAGTTGCGATTCTTTGAAAACAGGACTACTTCTTCAAAGAGATTAGGAAGTAACTGAATTACATAATAAGGCATTCAGTAGAAGTTAAACCAGAAGGCATCTACTAATTAATTTTCATTTCGATGTTTTAATGAACTCGCGAATTATTAAGGGACTTGTTCAAAATGTGTAGCATTTTAATTGTGGATGACTTATTCTGTATACTCCTAAAAAACCTAGAGACAGATGCAATGATTCTCTGTGCTGTATTATACAGATGTAGTTAATTTTTCCTAGCACATATTAACCACGTGGTATCACTGATGAAAATTGATTCGATGAACAAGGAAACTCCCTCTGAAGATGTTCAAGTTCGTGCACATCTCTTCCAGGAAGAAATAGAAGGCACGAAAACGGATGACCCTTAACAGATACTTGGAAGCTGACAGAATGTTAACCAGTGCAAAGATGGATGACAGAAGGAGAATCTGCGTTTAATCCACAGCACACTAAATAAAGAAGTGAAGGAGAGTGACAAGAGAGATAAAAGACAATTCTACGACACGCCGGTCTGCAACTGTCACAAAACAGTGAGGTTGCAGGCAGAGGAGATCTCAGAACAGTATTTCAGATAACCATCAGATCTCTATCCGGGAGGAGATCAACCGAGATGATGAAAACACTAAAAAAGGAAAACATGGAACAATAAAAAGAACCTAATTACCGAGAAGCATAGACAAATAAGACAATGGGCTGCTCACTTCAGAGGATTCTTGAATCGCCCAGAAATATCACCATCACTGACAGTAGGCACAAAAGTGCCCACCAGTGGACACTGATTCTCCAGCAAAAGCAAAAATCGTTAATGTGATCAAGCTCCCGCAGTCCGGACGGAATTCACTTCAAATCATCGATAACGGAGCGAGACACTATGGCAGATGTGCCCGCACCATTACTGCGAAAATTGCTGGGGGAAGAACGAAAAGATGCGTACCGATTGAATCAAAGAGTGACTACCTTGTCAAGCTGCCAACGAAGGGTGACATACGCCTCTGCAAGAACTGACATTTTTGTGCGAAGTAAAATACTAATTCGAGTCATCCTTGATGGATCAAAAGAAGCGCCGAATCAAGGAAAGGCGAATCATGTGCTGAACAGATTAAAACTCTATGCATTATCATCGACTATGAAAGTCCTTCGACAGCGTTGACGGTAAAGTATTTCGTACACTGTATCAACTTTATAGAATGCACCAGGTTATTATCAAATTCACTTGACAGCCTCACGACGAATCAGCGTGTCCATTTGTCTACATCGAAGCATTTGGAGTGAAAACAGAAGTGAGACAAGACTTTCTGTTGTCTCCGATCGTATTCCTAATTGTGGTGGATTGTAACATGCATCAGGCTTTTGGCAGAGAGAGGGCAGTGAAACATTGGTCCGATGAGAAAATTCCAGAATATCTGGATCTCGCAAACGACTTATTTCTAGTGTAACTCAAACTCGATTACTTAAAGGTGAAAAACACCAGACTGACAGAACAGATAGGCAGCGAAAACTGGACTTCAGGTGAGTGTAGAGAAGACGAAGCTTATGAAGTTAACCAAATAATCAAAGAAAGCAATTTTAATCAGTACCAAAGGGGGAAATTTTCAAGATGATATGACCTTCACTCATCTGTGGGCATCATTTAAAATACAGGCAGTCGGTAAGGATAACGACGTCGAAACCGGAATCGGAAGGGCAAGAAGGACCTTCATCACTCTCAAATCAGTTGAGAAATCTTCTATACTCAGCATAAAGAACGAATTCTGGATTTTCAACATAAATGTTAAGTCAATCAATTCTTCAATATCGATGTAAAATTTGAATCATGCGTCAGAAAAACCATTTCCAACAGAGTGTTGAAGACGTTATCAACAGCTGCTACCTTCGCTGGTAATCAATTGAGGATCAAATGAAAAGTGAGAAAGGATCATCATCGAGAAACTCTGGGAGCGAACAAACCATTAACTCATCGCTCAATAGATATCCGGAATAAAATATAAACGGATGGGATAAACTCTGTATAGGAGAACGAACGACATCCTCTGCCAAACATGAGCTCAATTACTAAGTGAGAAACGACAAGTGGGCCACCTTAGTGTTAAATGAAGAAAATCGTGACAGGAGGACATGAGCAACTTTGAGGAATCGTGTTTCTAGCCAAAGAGGACAGCAGAGAATAGGACGAATTTGAGACGTCCTTTTGAAACCCATTTGATACACTCAGAACACAAAGAAAGAAAAATAATAATAATCCTACCAGAAGTTTTTGTTTCTATTTGCAATAAATTATGTCTCAAATCAACATCACTTCTTTGGTCACGACAAAGGAATTTAAATTAAATTGAATTCAATGAAAAGCAAATTGTAAAAGTAGTAGAACTTACCTGAAGCATTTACAGTATAAATCATTATTGTGGATAAGATGAAAAGTAAACTCAATAGCATTCTTATGACTGTATAATCCAAATGAATAAATGTGAGCAGGACTTATTTTTATGAATATTTATACCAAACCTAGAATGTTCTTATGGATGATAAGAAAAGACAAATAGAAGTTTAACATCAGATTTGATTGACAGCTAAATGTGATAAACACATTTTCTACGTCGAAACCATAGAACAAGGTTTCTATTCTGAGTATTATCAGTAAAATATCTGCTGAATCAGGACAGTTTCAGACATATAAAGTTTCAACTGATAAGAAATTTCTAAAAAGCTCATCGGACACACTTCTCGTCTTTTGCAAAATAAAGTCTGTCACTATAATATCTCAAAAAATAAGGCGTCACCTCTAGTCTATCATAAATTATCAGATTAACACAAAATTAATACAAAATATGGACATGATAAAAGAGTTTTTATTGCGCTGAGACAGACCACAGTACTCTGTTAAAAAGCCTTTGTCTGATATAAAATTATTGAATGTACTACTGTGTTCTTACAAAAAGAAAGAGTGATTTGTTGAATATAAAATTCTACATAAGATTTATAAGCACAGTATTTCTTCACTCACGAAAACTGAAAACGAAGTGGGAAAAGGAGGAGATCATAAATGAAGTAGAAAAGAGCGAAAACAATAAAACACCATTTTCAAAATCCACAGCATTGAAATAGCCCACATTTAAAACAAACAATAGACAAAATTTTACTCGGCTTATTCTGATGATGAGGTGAATACAAAAAGATGTTTCTCTTGCTAACTTAGTTTATTTTTTGAGATTGATTTGAACTGCACTCTGTGTAAGACAAAACGTATGTCAACACATGTAAGTGAATAAACACTTTAGTATTGACAAATAATCATATTTATCGTTATCAGATATCAAAAGATAAGTGAGGGATCCTGTCTACTCGATGTCATCGTGAACTGACATCACTTAGAGAAGCACTGGAAATCCTTAAAGGGTTTCATGGCGTTTTCGTCCTAGTTTGTTATTAACCGCCAGCGTCCTCACCCATAACCTTCGGTTAATAAGGCGAATTCGTAGTCCACTGACCCATTGAGACTAAATCCAGCGGCCAGTCCATGAATTTCCCATTCTGCCGATTCAGTTTATAGCGCAACCACTTGCCAGTGTCATTCGTGGTGAGTATCTGTCTCTACACCTGACCCGCTGTCCCCCACTCTTAACGACTTCTCACTAAGCAGCTTGGTAATGACCGAATATGTGGAAAACCTAGTAAGCTGCCTTTATCATTTTGTTTTCATTATTTTACAAACAAAATCAGCAGACCATTGGTATACCTTCATTTGAAGTGTTAGATGAATACTTTGAAGAAAACAATAGACAGACGTCTCAAATGTGGTGTTCAAGAAACTAACGTACAATTTATAAGTCTTGACCAGTTGACTCTAACTTTGCTAATTGATACTTCGTAAAACTGAAGCGAAACTATTGGAAATGACTTAAGCTTTCATTACACTGACTAGACAGTGTAAGGACGTTGCTGAATCACTTTCATCACACAAATTCGGACCATGTGGTATGCCTGTTTATTGCATTTACCCCTAAACGAATCGATGGTAGTCTCTACGCAGTTATCGAGAATAATAGGGATTTTTACAGTCGGTCTAAAAATTGCTGTTTATGTCACTTTATCAACTGTTTGTTTCAGTCTACAAAAAACCTGAGGCTCATAGATATTACTCTTGCCTTCGATCGAAAATCTGATGATGAATCTGCTTTACTCTCTTCTAGATGTTATCTTATTCAAAACTTTCCTATTCAAAATGCTTATTATTACAGGATACCTCTGTGTACTGTAGTGCTCCCGACTCCAATACCTAGGCAATTTCGTACAACGATTTTTCTCTGTTCTCCAATTGATCACCGAAGGTACTGATGACTTCGGTAATTTTTGGTCAAGAAAATGAAACGTAAAATAAAATTTGTTCGAGGTGAACCTGGATAAAGTAATCTGAATAACCAATATTGACAAACCGATTACGCAAGTTACGAAATTGGTGATATCACG